GTTAGGTCTGATAGATTAGTTTACCACAATAAGCTCCGTAGAAGAATTCACATTTTCAACAACTTTCACGCAGCTTTACCTATAAAGAGACTCTCCTATGCAGGTTGTTGTTTAGCTTTGCATTTTTCTGGATCCTGTTTGTCGATCAGCAACGATACCATTTTTCCATAGCTTCGAATATCAGTGGATCACTGAGCAGACTGGAGTTGCAACGTAAGCCAGATCGCTACTGACTCACACTTTTAGTGGAGCTGGTGATTGCGAAAGGCCTCATCTGCTAAGTGATCTACTGAGAGGCATTTATATGGCCATATTTTGTTGCTCAACTTGCTTCGGTCTTGTGGTTCTATCGGAGTTCTAACCCCGTAGGATAACCTATAAATCCTTGTGGGAAAATTCTACTACCCGTCATTCATCACCTTTTGACGAAATAGGGTGAATACATCTCATATTACTGATTTACTGGTAGTCTCGAAGCTCGACTCCGATATAAATCTTTTTTATAGCTTACGAAGCCGTCAATATAAGCGGTACATGACGTCAAAAAACGAAGCAATTGTCACCGGAATCTCGGCTTTTCTTTCTTCCAAGTCGAAAGAGTAGTCTTCATTTATGATCTTTTCTTATTGCCGAGTTGACAAGTACCTGAATACCGATAGCCAAGCTCATTCGGGTGCAGTTTCAAACAGCATTTCAAACAAATGTATTCAGTAAAGATGTGTTTAGGTAGCTCTCAACGAAATTGATTCTCTTTGGCCTGCCATAGTTTGTAAAAACGAGGCAATTTAGTACAATCAGTTAAACTATTAATTGGAATCCAACCTATAGGATAAAGAAGACCAAATTGCTAGCATTTAACTGTAGGACCTAAGGCTGGAGAAAGGGTTAAGGCATACAAGCAAAGTTTTCAATTTGATCTTCAACAGGAAGCCTAGCAACTCTGCCAGGTGGGCCTCCCTCCTTGCGCAATCGTAGTAAGGTGTTTCTCGGAGTTAAAAAGTCGTTAAATCCTTTATAGTCTGTGATAAATATTATAAGTATTTCAATTTATTGTGATTATCATGCCCATATATATGTAAATATATATATACACGTGCACACACATACATACATGCACGCATACATACAAACATATATACAGAAGAATTGTTTAGAACCTCTTTTATTACAATATAATGTCGCCAATGCTAATGCAACTATAGTCGACTTAAAATCAAAATTTTGCAATTAAAATGAATTAAATCTGCACAAAATACGCGCAAAAAGATTCGCTAAACTATTTTATTTGCCTTTCTGCTTACTTTTATCTATCAGTACGCTTTTATCCGGTTAGTCTTATTTACTAAGTTTTAGCTTGAATATTGATAATATTATTAATAATTTCCCGCTCGAAGACATGAGAGAAGCAATCTAGCCACGCTTTTGCCAGACCCGGCAGGAGCTGTTCGAGGACTGTGACTGTATGAACTTCCCTGCTTAGCCACAAAAGGTCTAGTGAGATCAGTCAAGATATCTCTTTTGAATACACCTTAGCAGGCCTGAAAGCCGTTTCTAGTACTAATTCAAAATCTTCTACAAGCAAAGCTTCTTTCCGGCTTATCATAGCACTATTTACCTTTTTTACTAAAAACTGCCTTCACTATCGCTTATTCTTGACGTAACGATGGAATTGGCCATTGTTAAATCTTTTTTCATGCATTTCAACTCACCGTTGTGAGGACTTTCATTTCGCATGTAACTGTATGACAAACAGATTGGTACGTCGATCTAACCAGAAGACGACGGATGATTTCCATTGCCTTGCAGCCGTTTGGCTTTCCGTTACACGTCTTAGGCGAAAACGGGCTGAGCTTTCGAGCTGGAGCATATTCTTGCAAAGGCTTCAATTTAGCACAGAGTCGACTCTACTTTACATGCGATATATGCTCAATTGGAAGTGATAAAGTAGGGATATACATAAACATGGAGTGATTTGGTTTGTTCTCTTTCCTATTAACCAAGAAACGTATACACGAGTGCGTATGTGTGTGTGTGTGTGTGTGTGCTAGCATCTGCTGGCAGCACCAGTTATAACTGAGGATACTTATAGAAGGACCTAACTTCAGTCCCGGGTCATCAGATTTTAACAACTCAATGAAAGGTACCACTGAGATTGCTTAATCCTATACATCTGGTTGGGTTGATTGGCCAAGAAGCATAACTGTTGAATAATTGCTAATGTGATTGGGGCCATCTTTGAACTGATGGGGCGAGTCATCTTTTTGTCAGTAGCTCAATAACCTTTCTCTCTCTCTCTCTTTCAGTCTATCAATCAAGCATTACTAAAAGTGGGTTGGTTTCGTTTTTGCAGCTACGTTTTGTGGTCAGACGATTTAGTAGTCCTCTGCCATATTATTTATCATAATTCCCAGCATAATACCGTGAACTTGGTACATTCTCAGACATTTCTTACTAAACTTTCTGTTATTTTGAAGGGTTGACCGAAATCCAGCTATTCTTCATTTATTTTAGCTGTGTTCACCTTATATCGTTTAACGTGATAAAGCGACTAGTAGTTAAATTCTTCATCATCCAGGCTAGAGGCGACTGCAGTTTTGACCTCGCCTGAATTTGTCTCATCAACAAC